TGTTGTCCTGAAAGAGCTAATGTGCTTTCACAATATGTGTTGAGTATTTTTCCTAAAAACTAATACACCTCTGGGTCAAAGATTAAGTCAGATCATCCTTTGTGATAACGAATATTCTTCTTCTGTATGTATAGACATTTGAACTTGCAATCAGAGAAGGTAAGAAAGTAACTCATAAGATAACAACCAGGAAAACAACAGTGGATTCAACAAAAGATATGACCTGCCATTCTCTTGATCTGATTCTGAAATATTGAAAACGATTCTCTTTCCATTGGTGTGGGCACTTAATATTAAATCAGGCACTCATGGTGCTCCAATAGCAGCTTGCAAACAAGGTATTGGAGAGAAAGAGGAAATAAGTGCTCAAGCCCTCCACATGGGATAACATGCCTGTTTGTGGATTTCATATGACAAGTCTGAAGCTGAAGTCCACAGGAATGAGTTCAGTGCAAATAATCTGGAATTGATATAAGGAATCAATTTTGCAAGTGGTTTCTTGGACTCTTAAGAATGTTAGAAATTGTAAGACCCATTGATTCATTTTTTTGGTCAGGTATTGACTGATATTTTCTATTCCACTCTTTATATTCTTTGTGTTGTCAGTAAATCACAATGGAATATCTGCCTGTCTTATGTTAAATATCTGCAGAATCAGTCTGGGCACTGGAAATGAGAGAAGAGAAGAGACTTATTTCGCATATGGGAATTTTTTTAATTAAAAGAGACTTAAAATCCCTCTCTAATAGGATCCCCATTTAATGAACGTTCTCTTTCTCTTCAAACATTGGGAAAACATAGATGCAGGATTGGAATAGAAGACTAACACATTATTCTGCCAGCATTCTTGGGTTAGTCATGTGTCTCAAGTGACCAAAATGATTGATCCACCACTAATTTCTCATACTGTGATTCAGAATCATATGCCTGGGTTAACTTGTTACAGATAACATTCGCCATCTTCAAGTGTGTTAGTTATTCTTCTCTTGCTTTGATATTTATTTGTATTTGATACCTAAATTTTCAATTGCCCTCATTTGGGCCTTTTAGTCTCTAATAGGGAGGAAATTAATAAAGTACAAAATGTTACTTTACCAAATTCAACAGGCACATTTTTGATAAGCTAATGACCCTGAATGGCCAATAAACAAACAAACTTTCCTGTAGGTAAAGCAGTTAGATAGAGAGCATAACTGCCCACCTTATATCTGATGAATTTCTGCTGGATATATAAGGTTTGTATAATGTAATTTATATGCATATAGAATACTGTGTGCCTACAATAGTAAAGCAGCAATTAGTTTTTTAAATTTCATTTCTGTCTCCTGGTACAAATCGAACTATGACAAATGGGTCAATATTAAACAATTGCAGGGGGAGGGGGCTGTCACTGGCATTGCACATAATTGAATTCTTTACAAGCCATAAATTATTTCTTACCCATAATAACTTCCAACAAACCTACAAGGTGGGTTTTAGTAGAGGAAGTAGGTAATTGTTTGTTGTTTGTTTTTATTCCTGTTTTATAGATGAAAACAATGAAGCTTAGAGAGTTTGACTAGTTTTCTCCTGACCACCTTGTTTTAAAGTGGTAAATATGGAACTTAAAGTCATGTGAGTCTGACAGTGTAATGGACATTTTCATCTGTCAACGTGGCCAATTATTTAATCAAACAATATTTGAAGTTGAGAAATGTAGGCAGTCCCTTCCTAATGTAATAGCTGGTCTTACAAGGACATTTTCATACTGTAGATTTCTGATTTTGACTTTTGGAAGCCTAATATCACCCTGTTCTTTTCCTCTGAGCTCCTCCGTAACATTTAATCTGTAAGAAACTCCTCCCCCGCCCCCCCCCACACACACACAATATTTGCACCTTTTCCTTGTCCATTGAACTCCCTGGAGTGTTGGTTATGTTTCCAGAAACAAGGCTAAAGAACAGAGCATGTTAATAATATCTGAAATATGAGCCCCATTATACTAAGATTTATTGAGTATTCCCTAAGTGCACTATCCTAGGTGCTATATCTGGATTATTTTATTTAATGCTCAAAACAGTCCTGTGAGGCAAGAATTGATTTTCCCTACCCTGGTTATAGCTCAGAAAAATAAAGCCTAGAAGGGTTTAATAATTTTCCCAACACTACTAAGTGGCAGATTTAGATGTAAACCCAGCCTCATCCCTCCATCAAGCATGTCAAACTTTGGCCCATGGGCCGCATGCGGCCCACAACCAATACTCATTAATGATTACTCATTTATTTCAGCCTTATGTATTCAGCATACCTCTGTATTTCTATGAAAATTGAAGCTTTTGGTGTTTTTTTGTTGTTGTTGTTGTTTTTTGTTTGTTTGTGGTTTGTTTGTTTTTTGCAGCCCACATAAACTGAAACCTTGTTTATTTGGCCTTTGTTAGTCTTTGAGCTTGACATGCTTGCTCTAGATCCTCCACTACCCACTGCAGTCTGTCCAAGTCAAAAAAGCAAGGGGGCAGCAGACTGAGGTCAGAGGCCAGTTTGACATATTTCTAACTCGATATTGAGTCCAACATGTCAACCCCTTCCCAAGATCAACCATGGCAAATGAATGGCGAGCACAAAGGCAGACTAGTCATAAACTAATGGAGAGTTACTGCCCTGTGGCTCACTCGGAGGGAGGAGGATGTGGAATGGGCAGGGATGATGGGAATAACAGATTTGTTATAACAGAGTCATCCATCACAATGAGCTTCCCATGTGATATCACCCATGAACTTGGATTGTTCCATTATTCTCAGCATTAGCAAACAAGACCTTGAAGCTCTTTAAATTGCCCACTTGTGCTTTTCAACTCTGTTTTTAGCCTGTTATGTCATGCCACCTAAATGGGGTGTATACCACTGTGTAGGGAATATTGTTGGAAACCAGTGTTTCTCAGCTGCTTGTAAGTTTTAATCATAATTGTGTAGTGAAGAGTTCATTGTGATATAACTGGTTGGCCGTTATATTCATTTTCCATTGCCACATGACAAATCACCACCAATTTAGCAGCAGCTTAACATGAGATACATTCATTATCTTGTTTTCCCTGGGTCAGAAATCAGGGCTGGACTTTTGTTCAGGGTCTTACAAAGCTGCAGTCAAGATGCTCATGGCCAGGGCTGGGCTTCATCGGGGGCTCAAGTCCTCTTCCGTGCACACATGGGTATTGGCAGAATTCAATACTTTGCAGCTTTAGGACTCATGCTGACTTGCTTCTTTAAGACCAGTGGGGCCAAAATCGGTTTGGCTCAATGGTAGAGCGTCTGCCTGCGGACTGAAAGGTCCCGGTTCGATTCTGGTCAAGGGCATGTACTTTGGTTGCGGGCACATCCCCAGTAGGGGGTGTGCAAGAGGCAGCTGATCGATGTTTCTAACTCTCTATCCCTCTCTCTTCCTATCTGTAAAAAATCAATAAAATATATATTAAAAAAAAAAAGACCAGTGAGATGTCTCTCCTCTAGACTCCTATAAAGGGTTTATCTGTTTAGGTCAGGCCTACCCAGAATAATTTCCCTTTTGACTAAAATCAACTCATTAGGGAATTTAGTGGCATCTGCAAGTTCCAATCGGCAATGGAATTTGTTTCAATTCTGATTCTCTTACCATCATCATATTCCATGGCTTAGTGGCAAGCTGCAGGTCCTGCCCATGCTCAAGGGGATCAGATTACCACGGGCAGAGGCACTGACTAGCCATTCTGGTCCTTATAAGAAAATACCACAGATACTTTCTATAGTGGTTTATAACAACAGAAATGAGATTTTCACATTTCTGGAGGCTGAAAAGTTTGAGATCAAGGTGAGAGCCCACTTCCTGGTTCATAGACTGCCATCTTTTCTGTTTCCTCACATAGGCAGGGAGCTTTTTTTGTGGGGGAGAGGGTCTCTTCTACAAATTCATTTCATGAGGGTGCCATACCCATGACCCAATCACCTCCCAAAGGCTAATCACCTCCTAATAACAGCATGTTGGTGACTAGGTTTTAAAATATGAAATTTGGAGAGACACAAACATTTAATCTCTAGCAGGTACAATGGGCGTTATCTTGGATTTCCACTCACCATGGTCATGGCACTTCCATCACTAGGCAGGGAGTATGGTTCATATTTCTGGACTTTCATGTGATTTTAGAGAATATTTAGCAATAATATTACATATTTTCATATTAAAAGTCAGAAGAGTACAAACTGAGCTATCAGCTGAGGTAAGATTATTTAAATCAGGGGTTCTCAACTTCAGCATTATTGACGTTTTGGGCTGGATAATTCTTTGTCGTGTGGGGACTGTCCTGTGCATTGTAAGATGTCTCTAGCTCCTTACCTACTAGTGCTAGGAGCGTACGCTACCCAGTTGTGACAACTAAAAATGATAGTAGACATTGCCAAATGTCCCATTGCATGGAGGAGCAGCCCTGGTTAAGATTTGCTGCATTAAAAAAATGACAGTCTTTTCTTCTTCTTCTTTCTTTTCTTTTTCTTTCTTTCTTTTTTTTTTTTTTATAGAAGAACTTACTAAAGCAGGGAATTTTTAAAAGATAATAGAGCTTCTTTGGAGCAAGTAGGCTCTTGCTCCTCAGATAATGCCTCATTCTTAGATTTGCATTTGTCCTTTATTGGAAAATGTAGTTTATAGCTGCAAATAAAAAAATCAATACTGTGGATGTGTTTCGCACATGTACTTTCTTAGTCACATGTACGCCAAAATTATATTACGTTATTGTATTTGACTATGTTTTATAATCTTGTCTGAGTTTATAGTCAAGCAAGATTATAATAAGACGTTAGTTTTACTCTGACATGGGTCAGGCATTTCCCAAAAGATATTTAATGCATAAGGCAAGAAACCCAATAAACTCCTTTCTTGGTATTATTGGTCCTTTCTTGGAAACAAGTGATGTGGCTGGTATGGGACAGAGTGAAGGCATGGTCTAAGTTCTGAAATTACAAAACTCAAAAGCTGCTCATTTCTGTTTTCTCTAGGCAAAGGCAGCTCAAGCATCTCATCCGACGTGAGTTCAAGTACAGATCACACACCAACCCAAGCCCAGAAGAATGTGGCTACCAGTGAAGGTAGGCATCTGTTCTTCATTATCTCTTGCCCTCTCTTCACAGTGCTGGCTATTTTTGGAAGGCAAATAAAATGTGTGAGTCTGAGTTCTGTCCCACCAAGTGGGAGCATATGAAAGTATTAAAAATGAGAAGGCAAAGGTTTCTCCAAGTTTCTTTTTTGTTGTGCTGCTGTCATTGTCCCTTAAAGTTGTTGCAATGGAATTTAATTATCTCATTTCTAAGGCAAATGCTGTTATTTTGTGAAAATATAGTAAGCTAACTTTGGAGAAGCCTTTATGATTATATATATTCAGTATAGAAAATGTTCTGATTGTAAAAATCTTTATGCTGAAGTTGAAAGTTGCGCAAGGGCTTTCAGAATAGGCATACCTGCATTCAGGATTGTGACAATGGGAAGGTCACAGTCATGTGCTTGGTAGACCTCTTACTAATCAGCAATATTTGATAGAAGGAGAAGAGGTTTGTTTGACTCTTAGAGAGCAATTGAAAAAATCCTGCCTATTAGGACAGAGATTGGTCACCTTGATATTCTTGATGAAGAATCCGACTATATGACTTACAATACATGTTGGAATTCAACTGCTTCCCAATAAATACTTGGTTGAGAAGCTTTTGAGTTACTGTTAACTTGTTTGAGTGTGGAAATAATTGTTTCTGTGGTAGTTATTTAGAGGAAAGTTGACCCTAATATGGAATCAGCTCCTTTTATTTTAATGTTAAACACTATTAAATGACTTGCTTTCTGAAGAGTACATTCTAAAGTAATTGTCGACTGAAGATCTAGTGTTAATATATCGATGCCTTTTATAATGAAGGACTCTTTGGAAGGTATCCCCTGATTTTCATGATACTGTATAAAGCCCGCTTTCCTTAAGAAGATAGCGTGTTATGGAAACAGTCTCCTGTCTTTGTTTTGGAAGCAGAGTTTCTGCTACTTGTGATGTGGGGGAGCGAACTCCTGGCCTGATGTTGGTCATCTCAGCTGTATGACCACTCTTGATCTGTGCTATAGTCTATGCATTCATGATGACGCCTTTCCTCCACTATGTTTATCTTCTCTTCAGGTGTTCTTTGACTTGGTGTGTTTCAAGTAGCACAGAATTACCTTCTGTGGGTTAATTATCCCCAGACTGATGCATAAGCAGCTATTATAACTGGATTATAGTCCCTTGAGTTTAACGCCTTCCCATTGTTTTACCCACGTAGTAAGGCAAACAGATTGGGGCGTTTTTCTCTGTGCAATGAAGTATCAGGTACCAATCCAATTTTAATTTTCTGCCTGTTAATTCAAATATGGGCATTAGATCATTCTTGAAATTCAGTTAAGGTAATGTGCGAATCAGGTAAATTGATTCTAGACGTTCACTTTGGAGGCTTTCATTCTGTGAGGCCAAAATGGAAATCACTTCAATGTAATTTATTTATGAACCTCTGTAATCAGAAATCTATGTTTTGTAATATTAGCACTCTTTTTCCACCATTATTTCACAGTCACTTTTTTCCCCCCCTTTTGAGAGCCAAATTTTTTATTTTTTTTATTTTTTTATTTTTTTTAATGCCTGTGAGATTTTAATTTTTTTAAAATCAATCTTTATTGTTCATATTATTACAAAGGTTCCTCATTTCTTCCCTCCTCCACCAGGTTCTCATCCCACCCTCTGCCCTTTCCCCACACTCCATTGTCCTCATCCATAGGTGCACAGTTTATGTTCAGTCTCTTCCCGCATCCACCACTCCCCTTTTCCCAAGAATTGTCAGTCCACTCCCCTCCCTTATCTCTGATTCTATTTGTCACAGTCTTTTGTCTCATTTGAGTGGCTGTGAAAATAGAAAGTTAAAAGTATGTTAAATAGTCCCTCTGCCTTTCCCTATCTGGATTTAAGTTCTGTTAGTATTTTTTCTGCTTTTCATAAATAGAAAGTATAAAAATATGTGAGCTCTGTTGCAAGGGTTGGGGGAAGGGATTTCATGCATTTAAAAAAAAAATCTGCTTTTTATGCTTAAAATTACTCTCTATGATTTATAGCTTTTATTTTAGCTTGCCTTTTCCTTTGGTGCAGGCCCAGCCAATATTTTGTACATTTTTATCAGAATGTATTTTCTATCATGCTGTGGGTAAAATCAGGAGAGAAAAATGGAAAAACGTGATGTTCATATAAAACAAAATTTTTGGCTACTGGGCTAAATTAGTATGGAATATTTCCCCCAACTCTTAAGCGGAAGAACACTGTCCTTGTGAAAAATATTCATGATTATATTTTGCATATCTGAAAAATTATAAAAGAAAGTATTGTTTTTCTATTTGTTTGCATGAACTCTTTAGCTAATGTTTTTAATGAAAATTTAAAAACCTTAAACAATGAATTTGGTGTATCAGTTACATTAAAATCTAATTCAGAGATATTTGTTGCATGATTGGTCTCATATTGCTTAAAATTAAGCAATTTTAAGCCTGGTTTTTGAAGATGGAAATGCAATAGCCACAGCTAATTTTCTCAATGCAGGGATGACAGAGTCCTGGGGCCAGAGCAATCAATGATCACATCCTTCCGCCTCCACAGAGCAAATTTACCTCATGGTGTGTGTGCACATTTCTTCCTACCAGAAAACACCTATATACAACATTCTGGCAAAGAAACAGAAGGTGTACTTTGATTTCTTAGACATGCTACAGAGGAGCAAACTTAAAAATGCTTCTCTGATTCTCTCCCCACTGTTTTCTAGAACTATGCTTAAACTTTGATATGAAGAAAATATTGAGTGAGTGGTATACTTCTAGAAGCCATTGGATTATGATTATTTTCTTCAGTTCCTCCATCCTCTTATGATATGTCCATATATTTAATAACTGAGATAGAAGCATTGTGTAGTAGTATGGGACTGACTTCTCCCTGATTGAGTGGATGGGAAAGGTGGTTGTTGTTGTTGTTGGTAGTGGTGGTGGTGGTGTGTATGTGTGCACATGTGCATGCAATTTTCTGATTTAATATACTCCCACTTTACAAAGAAATACCTATGGCACAGAGAAACAAAAATATGTGTTCAAGACTGTACACCTAAAAATTTTCAAGCTGGAATTTGGCACAATAGTATTTTGATGAGAGATGGTCAAATTAGGAAAAAGCATAACCTTTAAAAAAGCCATTCCCTTCTGATCATGGACATTTTTAATTCTTTTTTTGTCCACCTTATTTTTAGCTGCCTATCTTAAACTACTTGCAGAGCTGAGGCTGGCTATTTAGGAAAGTTTGAGAAGGATCGTTGAGCACAAAGAAATCCATAGTTCCAATAGGAGGAGAGGATCTGCATCCAATGGTAAAAGGATCTTAACCTATTAGAGTAGAGTTGCTTCTTACCTGGAGATGGAAACATTTCTTTTAAGACAACTCATGACTTTAACTTAGCCTTTCCATAGATTCATTTGTGAAATTACTTATTTAATTGACTCCCTGAAAGAAGGTCATTTAAAAATGTTTCATTCAAGACATGTGAAATGAGTTGATTTATGAAAAATCTGTGGTAATACTTTTTCCTGGAAGTTAAAATCACCGTTTATTTATATAGTCATGAGTCCTCATGTTTTCAGTGCCCAATTACACCAATTTAAATAGAGTTATTTTGAAATTCTTAACCATCTGGCTTTGTTTGTATTCTCTTTGTCTTATATTATATTCTTTTTATTTCTTGAGTGTGCCCCTCAAATAAAATTCACAGGAATTACTCAGGGAGAAAAAGATGATGCTTTTAATTCAATGTGGATTTCATTTTCCTAAAAGCCTGTTTGATTATCCAACAAATTGAACAGACATTTTGGGAATACACTATTTTGGGCTCTTTCATGAGCATTATTGCATTCACCTTTGTTTATTCCTCTGTCACACTTCTCTTGAGAAGTGGATATAAAAGTTTCCATTTGGCAGATGATAACAGGGAGACTCAGAAAGAATCAAGATGACCCAACGCCATATAAACTTGGTAAGTGGCAAAAAATAGGCTATGAGCCATAATTTCTAAGGGTAATGCTTAATGATTGCCTAGTAAATATCATGAAAATCTATTGAGGATTTCATACTAATTGTCTTTAAAAGTTTACACAAAAGTATATCTTGAAAGTACTTAGAGAAGTTTCTTTTCAAATGCCAACTCATAACTGTGTCTAGATTGGTGATAGTATACAAGGAAACACTTTATTGGTCTATGTATAGTCCAGAAATTGACTTTATTTATTTTATATTTTTATTTTTTAATATATTTTTATTGATTTCACTGAGGAAGAGAGGGAGAGAGATTGAAACATTGATAAGCTGCTTCCTGGATGCCCTGCACTGGGGATTAAGCCTCCAACATGGATATGTGCCCTGACCCGGGATTTGAACCATGGATGACCTCGTGGTTGATAGGTCGATGTCAACCATTGAGCCACACCGGCCAAGCCAGCCTTTTAAATCCTTAGCTATAGAAAGCAAAAGTCAATATTATAAGCTGTTTTATATTAGGCATTCATTTTTAAGTTAAGGTTACATAATTGTACCCTTAACATAGTTCACTAGAAAGACTTGCAGTTTGAAATTGACATTTAAGTTAATCATAATATAGGGTCTATAATGTACGTAATAATATAAGATTACTGAATTATTACATTGTTTGTTTTCCCTTTAAAACTAAGCCAAGGAATTATATTTTAATTTTAAATGTATACAAGTAGAAGATAGCAGTCTCAGAGCATGAGCCTTGGAAGATTGGAACGTACCTTGAAGCAGACTTAGAGAAAAGAGAGTGAAACATATAACACAGGAAGAGGGATCAAAAGTAAAGAACTGAAAAAATAAAATGACACTAAAGAAATAGCTTTAAAAGTTATTATAAAATTATATCTATTCAAGTTTGAAGTTTGGGCAGGGGACCTCATGGGGAGGTAGAGTTTTTGAACATGGTGTTAAGACCTTTTACTCTGTGCATGAGGAAGGTGATGACTGGTTAGTATAAAGATTTACTTGGCC